ATCAAGTGTGACTATTTTCTATTTGACAGCTTCGTTTTTTTTTCATTTATACCTGTAATTTCATCTACTGTATATCAAGGGGAAAAAACGGTTTCCAAGATTCTGAAAGGCTCCGAAGGATTTCCGAAGATTTCTAGAGATTCCTAAAGATTTCCAAAGAGTTCAAGGATTAAAATCTGCTTTTTTCCCCTTGCTTCAAGCTCTATTATACAGGGGTACCCATAGGTCCTCAAGGGCTATGCTATGGGGGTACCCATACGTCCTCAAGTGCTATGCTATGGGGTATCCCTAGGTCCTCAAGTGCCATTATATAGGGGCACCCATAGGTCTTCAAGGACTATTACATAGGGGTGTGGGTGTGGGTGTGGGTGTGGGTGGGTGTGGGTATGTGTGGGGTGTGGGTGTGGGTGTGGGTGGTGTGGGTGTAGGTGTGGTGTGGGTGCGGGTGTGGGTGTTGTTATCACTGATTCTATTCCACACCCACCTACGCCCCACATCCACACCCCACACCCCACACCCACATCCACCCACACCCACACTCGCGCCCACATCCACCCACACTCACACCCACACCCCACCCACACCCACCCACACCCACACACACCCACACACCCACACCCACACCCACACCCACACCCGCACGGCACCCACACCCATACACCCACACCCACACCCACACCCACATCCACACCCACACCTACACCCTCAAAATCTAATTGTACATCATAAATAATAAAAAAAAACTTGAATTAATTTGTCTATTATGTGGGAAAAATATGTTGAACTTTCATTCAAGAGAAACTAACCTTTTCTCACAGAAAAAATGAAGCGTATTATTTTCAATTTATTGATGTTTCAATTTATTTTTCTGGGCTGCCTATTTACGGTTATAAATTGAATAGATTTGAATGTTGAGAGATTTTTGCTAAGGAACTTTCTGATAAATGGATGAATAGAAAACAGATTTCTTCTAATTAAATAGTAACTTTTTCATTACATAAACTTTTATGTGACTGTTTAATATTAGAATTCTTATTTCTTTCATATCCAAAGTGATATCAGAACTAATCAACATTTGTCAAAAAACTTCAAGAACATAGTGTAAATGTCAAACTTTTCCTTGATATGAAAAATCCATGTTATTATATTTCCTCCATGAATATGAACAAAAGAAAAGCATCTCAAACTTCACATAAAGGCAGACGATTGAAATTTATTTCATGTCTTTCTGTCGTCAGAATTCTATAAGCTTCTCAAAGTATGTTTGCTTGTAGTTGAAAAAACTGAAATGGAGCGTATTGTTGATGCCAAACATTATATGATTTCCTAGCATCTGTCATGATTTTCATCAAAATAGAATTTTCTTATAAAGACAATATCGGTTTTCATTTATGTGATTTATCCACAAGTAAGACAATCCACATCATTAATCATTTTCAATGCTGTAGTCTTCCTCGCTTTGATTCATATATCTACAGTCTTGTACGAGTAAAAACTAGACTAAAAGATTCCTAATCTTAAATTTATTTAAAAATATTTCTTTTGGATATTTGACTTTATATCTTCGAGATAATTTAATCTCATTTCTCAGTTTATTTCGTTCTTTCCAAAACCATATTTTTATTGAGCCTTCAGGACATCTTTTAAAATTATGAACAAGTCGGTATCAATGCCACTAATAAGGCTTATTCAAGGTAGAAAAAACCTACTTGATTAAAATAACATCATTAAACCACTCAGATATTTGTTTACAGTTAAGTAGACTGAGGTGGGATAAAAATTCTGAACATACATAGAATAGAAAATAAATTCTCATTCTAATTCCTTCGTTTTGATTATGTTCAATAGCAACTAAACATTCGAAGCATAAGTAGATGCATGTATAAAAACCTGCTAGTTTACAATTTAGAACAGAGATCGCTTCAGATCCTTCTAAATATTTTTGTTCTTAATGTTGTAATTTAAGTCAAAAATAAATCTGAATATATAGAGAGACAGAACATGAATTACTCAGTCTAGCTGACTACCTTTTTTTTCTCTTCAGTGGCTTAAAACCACTAGGACATTGAATGATAAGTTTCTGCAAAGACTTGGTGCACATAGGTTAAAAATTATGAGTAATCTAATTATCCTAACTGAAATAAATTGGATGTAATAGATTATATATTGTTCACAACCGAGATGTCTATAGCGGCACGTTTCTCAAAATCCCATTGCGGCAGCGGGGCGGTAGCAGCAGATTATTATTTTCAGCCATCGCGGCGCTGCGTGGCAGATTTTCAGCCGCGATGGACATCTCTGGTTTACAAGAATAAGAGACTATTTCTAATAGTGAACTGATTTTTAATTGATATTTTATTAGAAAATTCTTTTAAGTTATAAAATAGAACATGATAAACGAGAAAAGATAAAATTTACTAATGTCCGTTTCAAAATATAATGCGTCCCACTGTTTTTTGAATAACTCAAGAACGCAATCAGCTAGAGATCTGCGATTTTCACCAATCGAAAGAAGAGACAGGGGGACGTCTTTTTTCTGCAATATTGTATCAGACAAAATCATTTTAAAATCAGTCATTTCTGCAAAACATTGCAAAAAATGCATGAAAACGACCCAGCATTCTGAAGAAATTTTCCTTTTGACATGTGATCTAGATAGAGCGACTTCGGATCTATACTTCAGGATATAATTCGAATGATTATCTTACCGCATCCTAACGTTTAGCAAATAAAATCGTCTATTTAATCGCAAGAAAACTATGAATTTCTTTTATTTTTGAAGCAAATTTTTCTACTTTTTGTCAAAATTTCATCTGAATGACAGACCATTTTTTCGATGTTATGCAGAAATGACTGGTTTCAAAATGATTCCGTCTGATACGATATTGGAGAAAAAGACGCCCCCCTGTCTCTTCTTTCGATTGGTGAAAACCGCAGGTCTCTAGCTGATTGTGTTCTTGAGTTATTCAAAAAACAGTGGGACGCATTATATTTTGAAACGGACATTAGTTACTGTTTCTTTATAATAAGTGAAGTACTATTTTATGTGCGCTACAATCTGACAAAAAAAATTATTTAAACAAGTCGGTATACTTATATATTTCCTTTCTAATATCTTATTATTTGTGATAGATTGTATTCATATTACATCGAAGTCCAAAAAATGAAGACATTTTTATATTTTCTTTTTTTTTTATTTTATTCAAACAATAATATAGATAAAGCCTATATCTTTCGTTCGCGATACGAAGCGTCCTCTTTCATATATAGAGGTTATGTGTCACTTTAATGCAATGGTGATTTTTGTGTATACATCGAAGTGTGTGCAGATTATCTAAACCCGTGCGTTTTTATTCTATTGTTTACAATTCAATCGTTCATGTGCAATTATACATAAGTATATCGTAGTATGAACTCCATCTATTGATGTTCAAATAATAATTTTACAGTAAACTTATTTTTTTTTACAATGAATATTATTAAATATTTTATACTTTCATCTTGTCGTCGGTTACTATTAAGAATATTACATTTGTATTCTGTTCGTCGTTTCATTGGTACAATTATTTTTGTACCCATTCTTTTGTCAATTTTTCTTCTATTTTTTTATTCCATATTAGTCTTTCATTTCAATTATTGTTGTTCGCAGTCATCAAATATTATTGTCTCATTAACAAGTACTCCAAGACGTTTTCAATATGAATTACCATTTACTATTCATTCATTATTGACTCAAACAAAATTACCAAAAGAAATTCGTATTTATTTATCACCAACTTCTACTATCATTAAGCAAAAAAATCTAACATTAAATCATTTAAAAATGTACGTAAAACATGTCGATTCATCGATAATTATTGCAAAACTATTTGATGAACTAGTACATATACGTCTTGAAGAAGAAGATCATGGTCCAGCAACAAAATTTTTACCTATTTTAAAAGAATTTCATATTTTAACAACAAATCAATTCAAATCACAAGCAATTATGATTTGTGATGATGATCATTATTATCATCCTCATACGATATCTGTATTACTTAAATATTCAAACGAATACAAGAATAGTATTGTTGGATTAAGAGGATGGCGAAGTAAGAATCGTATTTGTGTTTACGAATTTCCTTAAAAAATTGCTTAACTTTCTACAAAAATCCCATCAATTTTACCACAAATCTTTCAATCAGTTTTATAAATCATTGATGCTCAGCCTTTTTTCCCTAATAGAAATCATATCATACATATATCGAATTGAAATTCTAACTTTAATAAATATGCAACTAAATAATAGACGTTTTTTTCTGAAAAATAAATCAATAATGATACAAAAGATATTATTTACATAAAAATATTGATAGAAAGTTTTTTTTGGTCAATGTCATAAGTGAAGTCTCTGAAATTTGTTGAATGATGACATCATTATTTTATAATGTCAGCTTTCGACGTTTTTTCAATTTCTAGATCTTGACTTAAACACACTATAGATACAATTTACACGTAACCAACTATTGATGTGTACTTTTGCTCCAAATTATGGTGTATTTTTTCTCTACTCATTAAGTGACAGAAACTCATGATTTTCTTTTAGTAAAGTCTAGTTTGAGTTGACTAGCGTCCATCCAAGATGAAAAACATCATACTTGAAGACTGAAGACTTTGCTCTTTCTTTCTTTCTCGTGCCTATTTCAACTAAAAGATGTTCAAAAGAATTTCTATTATTGACTTCAAAAAATCATAAACTTTCAAACACTGACGAGATAGTGTTGAGCAATAGCTACTTTAAAACAAAATATCAAAAACTTGACTTCAGAAAATTCCCTGAATGTTCATTATAGAAAGATTACCGTGTATAGTACTTGAAAATTCTCATGTTGTCATTTCGATTTTTAGTTCGTGAAGATCTTATTTGGGGTGTATCAGGTGCAGTAGAACTCGGTTATCATATAATTGAATCATTTCGTCTATCGGAAATCTATCGTGTTGGTATAGTTACTGCTAATCATGCCTATATCATTCGTCCTTCATTTTTTGATTCACAAATTTATCTTGATTTTAAACAAGCTCCCGATGATATACGTCACGTTGATGATATTTGGTTAAATGGTCATGCATCAAAACGAAATATTACTCGTTTAGTAATACCAACATGTTGTTATAGTATTAGTATAACTCGAACACATGAACTTGAAAATTATTTAATTTCACATCAAATTACACGATCATCAGCAAATGATCATGCATTAAGATGGTTTAATCAAACATGGGAAAAGGATTTATGGTATAGATTTAATGGACAAAATCGACCGAAAGATCTTATTTGGTGGATAAAAATTTATCGAAAATTGATTAGTATTATTTTAAGATTAAAATTTATTATTTATGTTGGTTTTATCTAAATTTATAAATATATAAAAAGTTATAATGAAAGCTTAATTTATAAATTAAGCTTTTAAATAAATATTGAATGGAAATGTAATGATTGTTAGAAACAAATAAATGAATAATATTATGTTTGAAAGTAAATAAGATTGATTAATAATTATATGATCATTCCTTTTTCTTTTCAATAAGATATTAAATAATAATATCATTCAAGTTGTTAAACCTTATGCATTGATTTTTATTGAAAAATTAATTTGTCTCATTATAATAAATTTAGACGAGAAAGTTACTTTTAATAAAAAAAAACAAACTTTCGTCTCGATAAACTGATGAAAATAATTTTATTATTAAATAACTCTATCTACTTTTCGTGTAAATTGTTATTTAATTTAAATTACATTGAATAGAATGTAATTATAATTTTTCGACTGTACATTTATTTAATTATAAAAGAAATAATAAAACAATGATTATTAATCACTAAGCTTTGATCTGTATAACCAGTTTTATTGATTTACATTTTGTATTAATGAAAAACATTGGTATTAATAGAATATATATTTATATAAACTTAAAATTTAGGATAGTGTTTATCGATGTGAAGCTACCACGACGACCAATCATAAAAAACACCACAAAATACCAAACACAATCCGGAAAATACCAATACTTAATCCTTAGTTACAATCAAATCCTCGTTAAAAACAAACTCCCTAACGGTTAGCGAGTGTTCCAAACGAAAATTGTATACTAAAAATTCAATTCTGTGTAATTCAAACAACGGACTAACACCAACAACCATTGGGCATTCATCCCATCTCCTTCCTCAAAGAAAATCAATTCTTTCGTTGTCTTCACCCATTTCTTAGACTCGAGTACATAATCATTTTCTTCACATTCCAGTCCTCCCTCACATGCACACATACCATTCTATCACTGATCGCTGTCATCAGAAGCAGACGCATATTCTACACTACATGCCCGCTTACATCACTCATATATTAATAATAGGACCTCCTTTGCCAGCCTGAACTGGTAGAACAAGCAACTACTATTCCATTCAATACCTGCTGCCCTAGCTTCACCATCACTCTCACCAGAACACAACTAGCAGATGACATATGGTCACTATTGCCACAAACTCGCTAAGGTTGTTTAAAGCGTCCACCCCATTGCCCAGAGAGAACTACCATATCATTCGATTCAGAATTGAATGATCTATCATTTAGACCATGTCTTCTCTCTCGGCCATGAGTCTCACTGCATGAAAAATATGAAATAATGCATGGGTACTGGTTTGACCGATTGCTATGAAAATTTTATAAGAGATAATAGGGCTGTGTGGATTTATGTAATTGAAGTATGTATTGAGATTTGATTGTTATTATATCTGTACTTTTCACATTCTTCAATAGTAAGATCAATTCAAACTCGGTTTGTTGTGGAAATTAACGTGCATAATTCTTTACTTTAATTTCTCGAAGTTCAAAAAGAGATGGCCATCATTGATGGGAGCACTGTGATCTCATGATTAGATTTGAGTAGCATAAATCTCATTATATTTTTCTACATATAATTAGCAAGAAATTGCTCCACTATCAAGTGAAAGTGGTCTTATTTAAATTTTTGGCTAAAATAATTACTAATCAACCGAAACTTCGCGTTTTTATAGAAAACTGTAATAGCACACCGGAAAGTACGTAGTTTGAAGCGAGTCATTTTTTATTTGCAGAGAAACACGATAATTATAATATTCAGTTAGAAGGTAATGAATAACCTTCTCTCATACAATGATTTCGTAACACGTAATGAGTAGAGCACGATGTAAACTCTCACATGCTATTTTATTTAGCGTAGAGACTATAATAATATGAATTAAATAAACTTCAAGTTGGTAATAATCAGTTGATTTTTGAAAACTGATACAATCAATTATTTTTAATCATCAATAATAATATCTTTTTTATTAAAGAAAAGTCCTATCTTTAAAACTAATCTATAGTTTCTGTGGAGTTGCACATTTCCATGTTTTTTCCAAAAAAAATATTCAATATTTTTAATAGAAAATTGAAAGATCCGTGCTTTTTTTTGAGGATAGAAAGAGCTCTAGAAATTATGCACAGCAATGACATATGCTACGTTTACTATGGAGTACCATATCCATGGGTTTCTCCTTCATAGTGGTATTTTTTCATTTGTCGCTTTCTGATTTGTTTTCATTTTGACGTGTGATAATATTTCACTGATCGTGCTCAATGATCGTGTTGTGGTAGCTTCACACAGATATAGTGTTTGATAGGTAATTGCATTCTAATGCAGTGGATCAACCTTGGTTATTTGTTACTAGTTTAAATTTTTGTAGAAAAGATTTTGTTTCAGCCGAATTGAACAATTTTTCTCTTGCGTTAAAAGACTTTCATTGCCATAAAGAATTGAAAAACTACATACTTCAGGCTCGAAGTCTTTGTTATTTTTTTTTTCTACCGTAAATAAATCATGATTTTGAACTGTCGAATTCTATACGAGATTATTCTCTATTGATGATAGGTGATTTTGTTTTTTGAATGAGAATATGAAACGATTTCATGAGACGAATTAAGCATATGAAAAATTTGCATATCAAATGGGAAAATAAATATTTGATAAAGTTTATTTGGAATTTCAATCGCTGATAATATTATTACTAAAACAAAAAACTCAACTACAATAAGAAAAACATTAGTACTGTCTAGATAGAACACATTGTATTAAATATTTATTTCGATTTAAATATTCGTCCAGAAAAAAAAACCATAATTATTAGCTAATAGAGTATATTCAATATCTATTTTGAGAAGTTTCGATTTCATGTTATAAATAATTTATTTTCAACTGTAAAAAACTTGTCCAGGAATTGAAGTTCAAAAATTTCTATGTTCAATGACGATTGATTTGTATTCAGTCGACAATAAGATGAATGCTTTTTTTTCCAAGAATAATATCAACTTATGGTGTTACAATGACAGAATATTGCGTCAAATTAAATGAAAAATATTTTTTATAGATAAACTTTAATCATATACATGATATCCAACATTCAATCTATGCTAATTATAAATAACTTGTGAAGATTAAGAAATTTCTAGTATTTTTTAATTCTTTAATTTAAATGCTAAAATAAGAACATCGAAATCTATCGGTGTATATGAGCGATATGAAAGACATACTTTTACCATCATCTAGTATTGTTAAAGTCTATTCCAAAGTCAAGTTTCAAGTCAAAATTCAAAAACCAGTTTTCCTGATATTTCTGAGGAGAATAACAGCATTGGTTTAAATAAATACTGCACATATGCAATATCTTCGCAGTAATACTCAAGTTGAGACTCATCTCGTTAAATCTAATCATGTCCATAATATTATGAACTTGCAGCTTCTTACTGTAAACACTCAAAAGATTACTTATCTAAGCATTGAAAAAAAAAATAACCACCATATCTAAATCAATCGATCCATAGGATTCAAACTTATATTTTCAAAACACGTTCAATTGCAAAGATGGTATTTGAACACAACTGTAAAGTAATAGATTGACCTGAACCATGAAACTAATCAACGATTATTACAACGTATATGACCAGGATGTTACATGTACATGTTAGACAAAAATTTAAAAAAAAGATAAGACGAAACATTCTCAATGTTCGAAAAGCACGTTCAATTTCCTAATTAGTCTAGATTCTCAAAGTAATATTGATTAAAGAACACGAAAATGATTTGTTCATAAAAACAAAAACAAGAAACTAGAATAGTAACTGATCAATATTTTATTTAAGAAGATTTTCTTTTTATCATTTCTATAATCAACAGTGGAATTCGATAGCGATAGTTTTATTTTGAAGTATTAAAAATTTTGATACGCTTCGAAAGAACTGAACAATAAAAAATGCCGGCATATTATATTGAGATAATTTCAATTACTTTGAGAATTAATTAGTTCATCTACCGCAACAAACTCATGTGAAATAAACAAAAAACTAATGGGTTGCATTTATTGTTTATTTATTTTTTTTCTTATTAAACAAATTGTCCTAAATGTTTTGCTTTTTCTTAAACGAGTTCTAATTTTATACATTATTATATTGTCACTTGAACAATAATTTCAATTGTTTATTCTCATAGCAAACTTATCATAACAATGATGCTCAATAATCAGTGGCATAACTCTATATCACTTTTTTTTTCTTTTTCAGCGTGTTAACAGAAAGTGGTAATAACAGCCAACGGACACGATGTCACACACCTTGAAGGATATATTGTAAGAAAAAGAAAGAGAAAGTCGGAAAAGATATCGACAAAATGTAACATCTGCGAAAAGCAAAACAAATGGTATCTTCTTTTAACTTGTTCCACTACAAGCATCATCATTCATACCGACGAATTTTTTTTTCTCACTCTTATTTTCTCTCTTGTTTGTTTGTTTTTGGATTGGTTAGAAAAAAAAATTGATATATCTCTTTTATTGATTGGTTTGTATTGAAGAATATTAAATAGAGAAAATAATTCATCTACTATTAGTTTGATTCTAAATTACTATCCGGTGAACATAGTCAAAGATAAATAACAAAATGGACGATAATTCATCTTCATTTATTCAATTACATCGTGATGATTCTGGCTATGGTTCTCCAGTACTTAATCATGAATTTTTAAGTCCACACCAATCTTCATCAAATTATTATTCTTATCAACATACTTATCATCCACATATTACTTACTCAAATAATTCATTTCATATGTATGATCAATTAACTGGAAATAATAATATGTATAGTAGTAAGTAGAATTATATTATAAGTGATATTCAATATATACTTTAATCTATTTTTTTTTTAGCTATCGATTCATCGATGACATTACCTGTTGAACAACTAGCTGCTCCAAAAATTGATTTATGTACATCACCATTACCTATGTGTACAAATTCAGCATCAACGACTCCATCAAAAGAATCAACAAATAACAATATTTGTCCTTCGTATGAATATAAAATCAATTGGGGTAGTCAATAAATATCGTCCATATTTTAAACGTTTATTTATAAATAGAACAGAAAAATGATTGAAATTTTTATTTTTATAGTTCCACCACAAGGTCGTCGTCGCCGACAACGAACTGTATTTACACAAAGTAATGTTCAACAACTTGATAGTGTATTTATGCATAATCAATATCCAGATATTGAATTACGTGAACAACTTGCTGCTCAAATGGGTGTTCCAGAATCACGCATTCAGGTATATAGTTAATAATAGAAAACTAAAGAGAACAATCTTAAAATTAAACTTATGTATAGGTTTGGTTCAAAAATCGACGAACACGTGCACGCACAGCACATCGGCAACAACTTAAACTGTCCGAATCATCTTCATCCCATTAAAGCTTGTTTTTTTGTGTGTATATATAAAACAACATAAATAAATTATACCTCATTCATTATATAAAAAAAAAAAGACAGTTCTATTCGAAGTGTTACAGAAAGATGTATTCAGCATCAATTTCAAAATTCTAAAATAGAGTCTTGTAACGAATGTTTCATATTTTGAATAAAAAACATTTGCTTTTACTATTCATGAAAATAAAAATTCAAATATATATCAGAAATACACATCTATAATTGTTTTATTTCACAACTAGGAATGAATTCACGAGTTAGCAGTTATTCTGTTGCTTGATTAAAGTTATATTCATTTAACTTTAATCTACGATCAACAATAAATTACTTAATTATAATTTTCAACGTCACAAACAATAACATATATGATTAGTGTTGTTCAGAGAAACATCATCAGGTATAATTTAACAAATGAAAAAAAAAAAATTATATTGCCTTTCAAATTGATGGAAGTTCGAAAGATATAGCGTCTTCATTGCATTAGTTCATTACTCATGTTCTTGTCCCAAAAATAGTTTAAACGTTGCCTATTTTAATACAAGTGGACTAGATTGTTTCGTTCTTTACTCCTATACCGAGAGAGAGAGAAGATATGTGTGTATATATATATGTACGTGTGTAATTGAGACAAATTACGTGTCGGTGACCAACAAGAATAACAATCAGTATGTATGTAGCCATGATATATTTTCTTTGTCTTCTTACTTTGCAACGAAATGAGATGATGTTACGCATATTGAAGTTAAAAAATAGATGATGCATGGAACATCAATATAGTATGTTGAATGTGAATGATACCAACAGTTGATTTAAACGTATAAAGTTAGAAGTAATAAACGATTGCTAGAACTCTTAAGAACAGAATACAATATGTGCTTCAATGAGAGACAGATCAATTATTTGTCAATAGTATGAAGGTTGTTTTAAGACAAATTATTATTCAATTAATCTTTATTAGTATTTCAAAATTTTATGATTCGCTGAAAAATAATAAAATTGAATAATACAACACATCACAACAAAAAATTTATACGAAGGCAATAAAGAAAGTAGAAGATGTGACCAGTGCTCAGTTCTTCTATTCGACAGAAAGTTTAACAAACACTATGACTATGTCAATGAAATATAATTGAGTAACGTCGTCTTCGATCGTTTTTACATTACTTAACCAGTTATTTTATGTGAATTCTCTAAAGATATGTTGTAGAAGGAAACAAGTAATTACCATTTAACTTTATGTGCTTTAATCAGTTTGATAAAGTAAGTACTGAATTTTTAAAGAATACATAAAACGGCGTCAAGTCCGTGAATAGTTATCTGACTGAATTTCATTTGAATTACGAAGATAATGTGAATTAACGGATTTTGCTTTACTTTTGGAACGAAATACTATTTTCTTTTTTCTACCTGCCGTGAACAACGATTGTTTCGGCTTTTGAAAATAACAGCAGAGAAGTATTTTATGACCTGCTTTGTTGTCAGTAATATGTATGAATGAGCACATAATAATAGTATTTATCATAAGTTTTCAGATAATGAGCAATGTTCGTTGACCATATGCATTGATTTTTGCACTTCACCTGTAAAAACCACTAAAGGACATGAAATAAAGCGATATTCATCGAGATGTTACATTAAAACGATTCCGTCATGCATAAAAATTAGTCGAAAAGAAAGTTGAGCAAACCAGTACATGTCGTCGCATATGCAAAATTTTGATGCAGAAAAGACATGCTTGACACTGTTTTACAATGGAAAGTGTTTATAGATGTTGCTGCTGTTTAGAGTATTAACTATATTATTAATATCATTTCATTTTTGAAGTAAAATGAAGCTACCATTCACTATTATATTTACAGTGTCTATACTAATTTTCTATATAATACACCATATGACTATGTAGCGATATATTTTGAATATCTAGCGTTGTTGTGTAGAACATAGTTTTGAAGCATTGTATACATGGGCCGCGTCCGAAGTATTCGTATGTGTCAGTATGCAATGTCAGAAATTAATAGTTTAGAGCTCATCTAGAACATGTCATTTGATGAATTGTGTTTATAAATTTAAAAATAATTGTAATGATTATTAGCAGTACTAATATGAGTTTTTGGGCAATATTAGAGTCATGTATAGTGATAAATATTAGATATAGAAATAATTGCATACAATTATAATGTTTTCTTATGAAGCTGACCAAAATATTTGAAGTTTTCTCGATTTCAAACTAACTATATGACTACACAGATCCTTATTCAGAAGAATTATTCTAAACGTCAGAAATTATTTTTTAAAAGCCTATAAAAAAGTCTGTATTTCTGTAGAGTTGTCACCCTATTTCGTCATAATCCTTCATCTAAGCTTAACGATAATTTGTTCTACTATGAGAAGATTATTTTTTCTCTAACAATTTTCATGTTGGATCGGATAACGTAAAAGAACGACACAAAACCACTGTGTTTTTTTCGTTTAGGGTATTGTTGCCGTGGCTCTAGATCTTTCTCGATTTCAAAGACTGTTTATATCTGATTTATAGGCTGTGGACTTAATCATTAGAAATATTGCAAAGATGATCGTATTTACTTCAATAATTTAAAATATTAACATTTTTCTGATGACATCTTAGAATCGATCTCTCTTCTGTATGCAATCGAGTTATCAGATGTCTTTCAATAATTTTTTTATGAACTAAGTTATTGGTTAATTTTACTTTAACTTATGAAAAACACTGGCTCATGCATATTCGATAGAATTGTGGGAAATTTTGATAGCTCTCTGTACACTTATAACTGCTCAGAGATGGTCACTGACAGTAGTGTATGTTACGATATGCTCTGTCAACTCATGATTGCGGTATTTACACATCAAACAAAATCGGTTTATCCTATTAAAACTTTATTTAACAATTGAATATAAAATTTTCGTATTTTGAAGGAAAAATATTCCTTCGTTTCAGATTCTACATTTATAAATGTTTGTGAGTGACATCTATCGTCCAATGAAGAAGAGGCTAGATGTTAGATGAAGATGTGCTCTTTTATTCGATGATTTGCTCTTCAATCGGATATATTTTCATTCTTGTATTATAGAGAAATTGTTCAGTAATTAAGTTTTTCAATGTTTTTTCTCGATTCAGATCATTATCCGGTTATATTTATGTGTTAAATTCTACTTACAATGAAGCTACATTATAAAGTAAAGAAGATTTTTTTTCTTCTTTTCCGACTGAATCTATTGCATTATTATTTATATCTAGTTTTCAAATCTTCTTGGTACTGTGTATCATAAGGGTAATCTTCTCTTTACACCTGATAGTAATGCACTCATCACACCAGTTGGTAATCGAGCAACTGTGATCGATCTAAAAAAGTATTGTATATAATGCATGATTCATTAAAATCCATCAAAATATATGATTTTAGTGGTCGATCAGAAACATTATCATTTGAAAGTGAATTTAATATTATTTGTTCAACTCTCTCATCTAATGGTGCACTTCTACTTGTTATTAATGAGAGTAAGAATTAGATCATTTCAACTTTAAATTATTTCATGAATATTGTTTTAAATAGCTGGTCGAGGTTATTTATATAATATTAAATGTCGTACATTGATTGGTATTCATCGTTTTGGACATGATGTACATACAATCAAATTTAGTCCTGACTCTAAGTAAATATAATATTGATAATTGAGATATTATTAATTTCGAACTGATGTTAAATATAACATTCTGACAAACTTTGATTTTTTACTGAGAAGTTTTCGACATAAGAAAAGTTGTTATATTATAGATCTGTAGCTGTTTGTCGTGGTAATCGATGTGAAATCTATACATGTCCTAGTGCTGATCGTCAATTCAATTTATTTACATTAAAATTTGTTCTTCGTTCATTTCATGATAAAACAACATGTATTAATTGGACAAGCGATTCTCGGTTTGTTAAATCGTTCTTTTCCTTTAGTCTGTATAACGTTAAACAATTAACTACTTTATTTTTTTCATAGTGTTGTTGCTGTTGGTAGTGCAGATATGACAACTCAAGTATTTAGTGTACCTTTACTGAATAAATTACATCGATTTACATTAGCTGGTCATGGTCGTGAAATAATCGGTGCTTTTTTTGAACAAGATTCTCTTAATGTATGTCACGAATAATTTTTATTTGAGAAATAATTTGTTTTTCAAAATAGATAATGACTATTTGTAAAAATGCTAAAGTAAACTATTGGATAGCTGATATGGATTTAGCATCTATGGAACCTATGCCATATATACCTGATGAAGATGAAGATGAAGAAGATGATGATCATAATAATAATGAAATGCCAACATCATCTAATGATCATGTTGATAATGATGATGATGAACAATTAGATGATATTGTTGAACGACAACGAAGTAAACTTGAACGAAAACAAAAACGTTTAGATGAACATTTTCTTAAAAATCCAACTAAAGATGATATGGTTGTTTTCAAACGAATCAATAAGTATATACATAAAACAAAAAAAGAATAAAATTTCTTTTTTTTTTTTTCTGTTTCATAGATTTAATTATAAAGAAACATTTGAAGGTGCTGATCGTGGTGCTTTACTTCTTTGTGCTGATTATCATCAAAAAACACATATGTTAGTAGCAGGATTTTCAAATGGACATTTTTATCTTCATGAAATGCCTGATTTTAATATTATTCATTCATTAAGGTTTATAAAATTTTCTTTTCAATATAAGAAATATTTATCCCATTTGTTTATATTATAGTATTGGTGATCAACAACAAATGATTACATCTACATTATTTAGTCCATTAGGAGATTGGATTGCATTAGCTTGTCAAAATCTTGGTCAACTTATTGTATGGGAATGGCAAAGTCAAACATATGTACTTAAACAACAAGGACATTTTAATAATATGACACAATTAACTTATTCACCTGATGGAATGCATATAGCTAGTGGTGGTGATGATGGAAAAGTTAGT